ATTGGTGTGAGCCTGCCCTCCATGGAGGACCTGTACACCTCACGGGTCAAAAGGAGGGTGGAGAGGATCACTGCAGACCCCTCACACTCCAGACACAATGTGTTTGAACTCCTCCCCTCTGGATAGCGTTACAGGTCAATGTGCACTAAGACAACCAGGCACAGGGACAGTTTCTTCCCCCAGGCTGTCACGCTGATGAACACTTAACCCATGACAGTATGACTGGACAATAACCCTCAGTGCAATACCCGTAAATATACCTCGTACAGATTATACAGACTTGTACAGCTCTCTAGATTTTTAAGTACTCTACTTTATCCCTATTTATCTCATTTCAATGAGCATTCCTTTGTTGTCTGCATTGTTTACTGTCTGTTTATACTGCTTTTTCTGCATTGTTTGCACTGTTTGTTGATGTTAATACTGCTATTTTGTTATATTACACAGCCTTATGCTGGTTTACTGTTTTGCACAGAGAGCCAAGGTAACCTGAGTCAAATTCCTCGTGTGTCCATCACACCTGGCCAATAAAGCTGATTCTGATTCTGTTGTTTTTAAAATAAATTTTTTTCTACAAAATTGTTACAAATTGACATTTCACTAAGAATTTCCACAATAAGCCACAATATGGCTTACTTTTATCAGTGTGTACAACTGAATGTATTTACTAGTATGGACTAATTACCATGAACCATTTTCAAAAACATGCCAATCTTTTGATTCCTTACCACTGAGTTAATTTCAAATATAAATTTGTCGCTCAGTCTGAGTGATATGACACTTGAGATTAAGGTTGGTATTTCTAGTAGTGTCATCAGGTGTCTTGATTCGCCAGTCATTTTCTATATTAGCAATATTTTCAGCCCTCCCCATACAGAGACTAAAACTGACAATGAATTGCCTCTGCTCACTGATGATATAAGTTAAAAGATAACAGCCATAAAATCAGTCACTGTAACTCACCATCATCCCTGGTTCTCCCATACCCACCGGTCCAGTTGGACCTGGTCTTCCTTGGTTCCCCTTGTCACCCTGAAAAATAAATTGTAAAGATTAGACACAAACTAGGAATTTGCCGTCCCTGGTAGGCTAGTGGTTCAGGTGCAGCGCTCTCGCCGCTGCGGCCCGGGTTCGAATTAGGGTTGCGTCAGAAAGAGCATCCGGCGTAAAACAAGTGCCAAATGTCAACATGCGAATCGTTAGTGTGACGGTTCACTGTGGCAACCCCTAAACTGGAAAAGCCGAAAGTGACTTTCTTCTTTCTTTCTAGACACAAACTAGGAATTCACTGGACATGCATTTGCCCTCCTATAGGAAAAGGTTCCGTATTTAATCCAGCCTAACATAAATTTACCTTGGGCCCTGGAAAGCCAACACCGCTATCTCCTGGAGGTCCACGTGTACCTGTTGGTCCTTGCTCACCCTTTAGAGGAATACAGACATGCTATAGCTTTATCCTATGAACTTACAGAATCACGTAATGTTCCTAAACCTTGATTTCTAGTGTTCTTACTTTATATCCAGATGGCCCCTCTGGACCTTGGTCTCCAGGTTCTCCCCTGGCTCCCTGAGACAGGAAATAAAGAGAAATGGTAAGTAAATACATTTGATTCCATCAATAACATAACCCAGAAAACACCCCCACACTGGAGAGAAGTGCTTGTGATGGCACTTTAGTGGAGACAAAAGCAACACCTGTGAGAACTGTTACGGTAGGATCCCTTCATGGAAAAACCCCTTATATCGCATTGATTGGTCCAAGCACTTTTTTGCACATTTGTGAGATGTGCGCTAGAGATTCAAAACCTGATGTCTCAGATTTTGAATGCAGAAACAGGACGTCTCATATGACTCAGTTTGGATGTGTCTGAAGGTCTAATTCAAGCCCAGTATTTTGCAATTCCATCAGTACATCTATGGACCTACACAATAAATTCAGGTAAGTTAATAGTTTTAAGTTGTTATACTGATATAAACTATAAATGACCCAATGGCATTTTGATATAATACAGTATAGTAATGTAATACTACTGTTCTGGCTTGTATATGGCCTTAGTTTAGTTATGTGTGCTGACCCTTTATGTTAGACAGCAAGTGCACAACAAGGACATATATCGCAGCGCAGTGATAAATAAGTGCATGAAAGGCATTCTCTGTAAGTATTGCTGTAACAATAACACATGAGAACAAACATCAGATACAAAATGATAAGATTCAAGTAGTTAACGTTATCATAAGCTAATTATTTACAAGGGATTTAGCATATACATGCATTGTTTATTAGTTGTGATGTAGTTAAGTCACATGCATTTTGATTAGCATTACCTGCTGGAAGCTGTGTTTTATGTATTTCCTTTCAGTTTACTTATGCATATATGATATTGTTGTTACAGTTTCACACCTGCCATATAAAGAACAGTCTAATGTTAGGGTGATTTTAACCCCATCCTGGCATCCGTGACTAATTGTGTGGAGGTATTTAACTAACTGGATAGTAGAAAGGGTTTCTACAAGGCCAGACCAGTGAAAAGAGAAGTCAACGATGAACTCCTAGTCCCCAGGCTGCATTGTTACACATATTAAATGCTGTTCTTGACCAGCACGTAAGACACAGCACATGAAGAGAGCACAAAAGCACAGTGCACCAGCAGAATCATGGATAAAGCTGACATTGAAGTTAGGTCTTCAGCCTCGAGGTCATCAAAGTGTTCTGCAACCTCGAGTGTATTACTAGGAGCTGCCACTGCACGTGCAAAGGCAGAAGCCGCTCATACCAGAGCCGAATCTGCAAAGAAAGAATTAGAGATAAAATTGGAAGGGGCCATGATTAGAAGCAATGCTAGTGGTATTGGCAAAAGAAGGTGAAGCTCAAGCTGCAGCCGCAGAAGCAGCAGTGTTGGAGTCTGCTGCTGCAAGTCTGGACACAATAGATCAACACGAATACCTTCCACAAGAAATGCAAAGTGCACAGGAGCGCACAGCAGAGTTCATTTGGGAGAGATTGGAGGAGATCTATGGGTCACCAGAGGCCATATAGAGCATGCTCTTTGCAAAACTTGATCAGTTCCCCAAGGAATCAGAGGGGCATCAGGACAATGTGTCTATACCACCAAAGGACTGTCAGACCCCCAGGGAATAGCGGTCTAGGCCACCCAGTGAATCACCAGCAATAGGAAGTCACCGGCAATACAAGAGCCACGACACTCCTGGGTACTCTTTTTGCAAAACGTGATCAGTTCCCCAGAATCGGGCCCAAAAACTGAGAGAGTTAAGTGACTTACTAGCAGAGATTAATTCAGCAAAACAAGAGGGTTATTTGCATGTACTTTCTTATCTCGATACTGCAAGAGGTATCAATCCAATTGTGGACAAACTGCCGTTTGGACTACAGAACAAATGGATGATGGAAGGCTCACGCTACAAGCAGGAGCACAAGGTAACCTTTCCCTGCTTCAAGTTCTTTCTACATTTCATAAAAATACAAGCTAAGCACGTAATAACCCCTGCTGTCACTATCCACCACAGGAGTAAAAAAGGACAAGTTCAGAGAGAGCTATAGTAATAATCACAAAACGGTCTCAGTGCATAAGACTAATGTTACAACCCCACCAACTGAGGGAACAGACAAACACTGTCACGTGCATAATAAACCACATGCTTTACAACAATGCAAGGGCTTTAGAGAAAAACCTTTTCAGAGATAATTCTAAAGCAACACAATAAGTAACTAGAAAGTTGCATTTTCTGAAGAAAATGCAAATGGATGCTGACTGCTAAAAGATCGCCATGAAAATGCTGAACATTTTGACATCTGAATGGTTTTGCTAGCTGAAAGTATGCTGAAGTAGAAGTTTCCCATTCATTTGAATGGGGCAAGATTTTCAAAATAAAGCTAAATATTTAAAATTATGAAGTTTACAAAACTTCTGAACAGTAGTATGAATGTCCTTGAAGAACTGAACATTTTGATAGCTGAAATAGCTGAAAGTATGCTGAAGTAGAAGTTTCCCATTCATTTGAATGGGGCAAGACTTTCAAAATAAAGCTGAATAGTTTAAAAATTATGAAGTTTAGGAAACTTCTGAAGAGTAGTATGAATGTCCTTGAAGAGCTGAACATTTTGATAGCTGAAATAGCTGAAAGAATGCTGAAGTTCAATTTCCCCATTCATATGAATGGGGCAAGATTTTCAAAATAAAGCTGAATAGTTTAAAAATTATGAAGTTCAGGAAAATTCTGAATAGATGCCCGCATGTCCTGAACAAGCGGAACATTTTGATACCTGAATGGTGTTTCTAGCTGAAAGTATGCTGAAGTAGTTAAGCGGCAAAAAACGTATGGAATAATAATAATAATAATAATAATAATAATAATAATAATAATAAATAATTGGACAAGATAGTATGGATGCTGAATCAGCATCCATACAATAACTGCTATACATGAATTGTGTACAGTATGAATATATAAAATATAATGTCCAAGTCCATTGTCCTTTGATCAGTTCAGTTCCTTGCATTGTGTGTGATGGAGCATGAGGCAAAGAACCCTCATATTCAGACTTATTTTCATTTATATTTTTATTACATTTCTAATTTAATTTATATTTTTATTACATTTCTAATTTCATTTATATTTTTATTACATTTCTAATTGTGGTTGAGTTGATTTTGTTAGATTTCCCTGTGATGGCCTGGGACCAGAGATGTCGGCTGATGGCCTAGATAGGCCCAGTAACGGTCAAAAGTCACAGCTCATGCAGAGGATGAGTTTCACTATGTTTTCGCAATTATGTTTTAATTGGAACTGTCATGAGTTTGAGTCACCAGTAAATACCTTTATAATGTTTTGCTTATAATCAAGTCACATTGGTTTACACCTTAAAAGGTGTAAAAGGAGGGATTTGTTAGGGTGATTTTTATTTTATGCACTTATGAATGGTTTTATTTTATGGCACACATAAGTTTATATACTCATATGTCACAGTTATGTTTACATCACCCTATGTGTTCACTGAATCACTGGTCAAATATTTGTTGTATTAGTCACTGAACCACTCTTCAACATTATAGTGTCTTGTTCACTAAATCAGTGAATCTCCTTAGATTTACAGCTCTGGCTAAGAGGGTCCACAGTTAATTTATTATCACCACCTGGCTAATGGGCCAGGGGAGTTATAGTTTACTGGGATTCCAAGGTTAGTCAAACAAAGATTAGATCAGGAGGCTAGCGGAGGAGAAAACTTCAAAGGTAGGAACATCATGCACACACACACATGGGCAGAACAGTTTTAATTGGTGAACTGGAAAGTAATGCCTATTATGGATCAGTTAGTTGGAAACAAAGGAAGAAGTGACTGTGTATGTAGGAATTATGGCTGTATAGGTATTCCTCCCCTTTCTAGGGCGCTGTCCACGACCATTGGAGCAGAGAGGACGATTGGAGGACGGACGGACTGAAGGACCAATAACGGGAGAGTTAAGTCTAAACCACGGCTTCTCCCCAACAGTTTTTGACCAATTAGATAGTAGCATCTTTTCATACAAATATTGTATATCGACAAGTTGAGGACAGTCTTTTCTGTTTGTCCTAATCGGTGAGGATCCATGTGCACATGCTTATTTTGATAC